TATAATTATTCTTTCTCCTTTTTGTTTCAATTTTCTCATATTCATTATAATTACTGCATTTCTTGAGTACAATTGATAAGTTGATCAAAAATCCAAAACAAGAACAAACAGTTGTAATACTATATTTTATAAATATATCAAATTTATCTTCTTAATTCTGACTCATGTAGTTTTTTTGTACTAATCTTTTGAATTAATTTTTGAACTCCTCCAGCGATTTACTCATTTTCAGGTCCGTTTCAAGCTTATTCCACAGGTTGACCCCTATAACTGATACACACCTTTGCTTAATGTTTGTTCTTGTTCTGGATTTTTTTGTATTGATTAGTACCCCTTACATTATAACTGCTCTCTCTAATTTCAAAAAGCTTCTGGATATTTTGGCAAAGGAGATTGTTATGTGCTTTATACATTAATTGGGGGATTTTGAAGTCAACCAGGTCGTAGAATTTCATTGTGTTTAATTTGAAAATAGTGGATTTGTGGGTTCTATACATTTAGACCTATTTCTGGTCTAAATGTATAGTTATGTATGTATGTATGATTATTCTGATTGCTTTTTATTGTAGTTTTAAGACAGGGAGTGTGTTTGTTTTACAGGCGTTCCCCCATATTTCCACACAGTAGGTCATATATGGGAGCAATAATGAATAATATAATGTGTACAAGGAACTCTTATTCAACACATCCTTAGTTTTGTGGAGTATCCTGATAGTTTTGGATATTTTTCTTTTAACGATATCTATGTGTGGCTTCCAGGATAGTTTAGTATCTATTACTAGTCCAAGAAACTTATTTTCATTAACTTGTTCTATTTCAATTGAAATTATATTTATTTTAACTTGGTCTTTGATTGGTCTCGCGCCAAAAACAACTAACTTAGTTTTTGTTAAATTTAAAGATAGTTTATTTCTGTCAAACCAGTTTTTTAATTTGATTAATTCATTTTCCACAGTTTTCAGGAGTTGTTCCATATTATTTCCAGAGCAGTAAAAGGTTGTGTCATCGGGCGAATAGGACACATTTGAATTGTTTTGAAACACTACAGATATCATTTATATATAAAATGAATAATTTTGGTCCAAGCACTGATCCCTGAGGCACTCCATGGGTAATCTTCAGTGAGTTGGATTTTTTGTTATTGAACTGCACATACTGATATCTGTTTTCTAAATAACTTTCAATCCATTTATATGCTATGTCGCTGATACCATATCTCTCTAATTTATTCAATAATATGGTATGATCTATTGTATCAAAAGCTTTTTTTAGATCTAGAAAAATCCCAACTGTGAATTCTTTATTGTCTATATTAGTAGCTATTGCTTCCACAAACTCCATTACTGCCATTAAGGCATTGAATACCACCCCTTTTCACTGGAGCAACCCCCTCAATCCCTCACATTTTACTGAATTTTGACTGATTTGCAAGGCCCTATCAAGTCTGCGAGAAAATAATTTTTCTAATATTTTTGAAAATTTTGGTAGCAGTGATATTGGTCTATAATTTGTGAAGAATTGTCTTTCTCCACTTTTAAAAATTGGAAT